AAACAAAAGTTTAAAAACATACAACTCATCGATATGTAGTATTTCGTAGAAATAAATTTTAATACATGTTACTCTTTGTAATCATTTTATTTCTTTTCGTTACCGGCCAATGCAATATGGAACAAGAATATGTAGGGGAGACCGGGGTTAATTCGGCACTTTTTTTTTTTGACGATTTTTAATAAGAAAATAAAAGCTTTTAGCTAAATAAATGGTACTGTGGAAAAGAACGAACCTTTGATTATAAAATGATTCAAAGCATTTTTGATCTATGTCACTTCGTTTCATAGGCATAGAAAAAATATGACACAACCTCTAAATGCGATATTGCAAAATTCCTGGGGTAAAGTCAGCACCCCTCCGGGATAAAGTCGATACACCTCATGTTCGCGTTAAAATTGATATAAAAATATATCATTTCCCTTTAAAAGAATAAAAATACTTTATTTCTTTATTTTCGCTCTAAAAAAGAAGATAAATGAGGAAAAAAATGAAGAGATAAATGTTTCACTTTTGTGCGCGCGTATTTCGACGTCGAGTGCTTGTTGACGGTTGCATATCACTGGTGCCATTTTTTTTATTTATTTTCTTTGAAGATTTGTCGACACTATTGGCACGAACTATGGTTATTACTGCGCTGACTTTGCCCCGTCGTCTCTATGCCGACTTTGCCCCAACCGTCCATTTCTATTTTCGTTACACAAAATATATAATAAATCCATGAAACTGCGAGAATAGTCAACGGATTCGTGTCCAGCATACACATTTCACTTAGAATTACTTACCTGGATAATTGTACAAGCGAAAAAAATAGGTATAATAACAAACTTTCTTCGCGGTAGAAAAATTACTTCTGACTGTATAAAACATGTTCGTCATTGTAGAAATTGCAATGTTGCCAGTAACTTAACTCCGTTGACAAAATGGATACATGAAGACGCATCATTAGTACTAATCGCTAATTTATATGATTTATTGTTCGTAAGTTAAAGCGAATGATGACTTTACCCTAATGCCGAATTAGCCCCGGTCTCTCCTATGTCAGGTTTAATTATATTTTTTTATATGGCATCGTCTGTTTCGAATTGCAAAATTATTAAAGTGCATCCAAATGTTTTTTTTTTTTACTAAATTTGTCTCTTTTCTAAATTTTACTTATTAATGAATTTTATGATCTCACGAATCTTAATATTGAATTAATATGCGCACGTGCGCACACAAGACATGTGTGAGGAGAAATTAAAAAATTTTTTTTAATTAATATTTTTTTTAACAATATTTATGCCAACAAATTGTATCGAACACATAGCAAAATGAATATATTGTACACTGAAAAAAAATTGTTAACTTGATTAAATGCGTTCAGTTCGCAGTAGTTATTTAGTTCAGATGTTTGTATATTTAAAGCTTAATAAACTCTTGTAAATTTAAACCATATGTTATTTGCTTGAATTAACAAATATTTGTTTGACAGCCCGTGATCGCTATGTTTAGTTAATTCATGTTTATTAACCATTTTTTCTTAGTGTGCATGTATATATAATGTATATACAGTACACACACCTATATATATTCACATAATGTAGTTCTCTTAAACACTCATCTAGTTAATGTCTAGTATTACTGTATTATCTTAAATAATCTTATATAGTAATTATAAGTTATAATGTAGGATATTGCGTAGGATATGAACAAAAAATTGACAGTTTCGTTAGTAATTGAAGCACCTGTAGTACAAATATTTACACAATTTTCATAAACACCTACCTATTTAGTTATTTATCTATCTATTTAGTTTAGAGGCATTCATATTTTGCGCATCTTGTGCTCAGTGTTGCAGCCAAGCGATTGAGAGAGCGCATTTGCTGTCGACTTTTGCATATTCATATTTAAAACGACACGTAATGTTAAAAATCAATCAAAATAGCACTGTTAAATTTATAATTTTTTGTGAAATTTTCTTATATAGAAAAATTATAATCTTCTAAATAATATGTATAAGATTTAATTATTAAAATGACTACGGAAATAACGAAGTATTACCTTCAATTACAAAAGCTATACAACCATTCAGCAGACGATTTTCCTTTGCATTACAACTACGTTTCTCAAATATATATGGTCGCTTCTTTAAAACATTTGCATGACCTTGTTAATATGTTAAATACGCATTGTTTAAAGATATATATATAATTATCACTGACCAGAATAGCTGTATCGTGGAGGCCAAAAAGCCCTATCCTATATCTTACGTTTCCTATGATACCAGTGAACATATCTGTGATCATTATGAACTGTGAATAGAATGAATGGAATAAAAAATCCTTTCACAGGATTAAAGTAGATACAAAATTAGGACGTAGGGCAGTGAACTTTATACTAAAGTCGAAAAAAATTAAAAGCATGGAGGGAGGTGGGACAGACTCTACGTCTCGCGTGGAAAGTTGATCGCCTTTTGGTAGAGAGAGAAGATAGGGTAGATCTCGTTTTGTGTGGAAAGTCGAATAACTCTAAGGGGGAGGGGATATTTTGCATAATTGTAATAAAATGAAGGAAATTGTGCAGCAACATGATCGCTTTGCCAAATGAAACAAATAATGCTATAGGAGTATTCGATTTTTTCCCGCGTAAAGTAAGATTTAGTCACAGTAAATAACCAGTAGGGACACTTCGTGTGCACCTTTGATCTCAGTGTGGACAGTCATGTGAGTTACATCTCCGTGTGAGTCACGTACATAGCTCCCTGCTGTCTAAAGACATTCAATTCTCTTCACAAAGCGATTTAATTATTAATATTAAATGAAAAGTTGAATACTCCTATAAATAGGGGGAGTGTGAGGTGGACCTCGCTTTGCGTGGTAAGTCATTATATAAGAAGGAAAAGGTGTGGAACAATTGTTAATGTTGTATGTAACAGAAACAAGACGTTATTTTTCAAACTTTTGTTAATAATGTTTTAATATGAATAACGAGCGTCAACTAAAACCTATTGGCAGGGTTGGGTAGTGCTAAAAGTTAAAAGTTAAAAATTAAGTTAAAAAGTTAAAAGTTAATTAATTTTAACTTAACTTAGTTACATTTTTTTAGACTCCTAACTTTTTAACTTTATTTAGTTACATTTTATCGGTAACTAGTAACTTTTTCTCGCAAGTGCTTTGATACACGTATATCTCTTTTTATATAGAATCTCGATTAATAACTCTCTCAGGCGTATAAGGTAGGCCTCCACAATGCCTTACTGATGAGTCCAGTAGTGGAAGCCGGTACGAAACGCCAAAAATTACGTAATATTCTTCGCAATATATTAGAATAAAAATTAAATATTTTAACGAATTTGTTTGCTCGTAAACCTTTGTCTCTCTTTATTATTAGTTTAATAACTTTTTATTAATTTTTTTAAAGTTAAGTGTCAGACACAATACGAGCCACTCTGTTCCGTGTTGATGGATGGCACTGTTGACGTCCTGTAAGTAGAGACTCTTTAATGTCCGCAAGCGGGCACGAGTTGCATCACTGGTTCTAACTTACAGGACTTGCAGCTTGCAGTAGCTTGTAGTCACTTGTAGTTTGCTGCTTCATTTATTCGGTTCTAATAATAAGAGTTTTGTGCAAAAATGCAATGAGTGTTGACATTGATTTTATATATATATATATATAAACAAAATATATTATAAAATATATATATTATTATAAAAAAAATTAATATAATAAAATTTAGGATATGTTCTAAAATCTAAATAGTTTTTTTTTTATTATCACTTCCGTTATTATTAAGACTGAAACCCTGAAATTATAAAAAAAATAAATTTTTAACTTTTAACTTTAAAATTTTTTTATTAACTTAACTTTTAATTCAATTAATTTTATTATACATTAACTTGTATCTTAACTAAGTTAAATTTTCAAGATTGTTAACTTTAACTTAACTTAGTTTTAAAAAAATGTAACTTACCCAACCTTGCCTATTGAAAATTACTCAGGGTCATGATCTTGACAACATATATTAAGATCGAAGTCATGAGACTATTTCATTTATTATTATAGAAGAGGACTAAATAAAGTTTGAAATACAATATTCTGTATGAATTCTTTGTGAGAATCGTAAATATTTTTGTCGGTCTTGTACTCCTTTAATTTAGTTAACCTTGTATTTAAGTACATTATTGCTTTGCAATTATACGAACGTACACTATAATTTTTAATCTCTGAATCGTTTGAAAACACGTTATAGGAATATTCCATTTAAATTTTATTGGTTTAACTTTCAGTTTATTTATCATTTATTTGGTAAAAAATGTATGTTACATATTAATACGTTGGATTGATTAAAATTATTAAATTATATATAAGGATAATTTTAAGTATAATTTTTAAAAAATTATGTAAATGTAAATTTTTCTTAATAACTATACTCTCTACCTCTATAACAAGTGTTTTATTTCGATTTTTTTATATTTAATCTTTAGGAAATATTAAAATTAAAAAAATCTTCAATTATATTTACCATAAGACAACTGATTGCAAAACAGGAATAAAAATATTTATTCTTAATTATTTTTATAGAATTAAATTGATTTATTGCATATTATTAATAACAGTAATTCTTAACAATGTCATATTATTATTTATTAATATGTTTAATATGTTTAAAAATAATAATATTGTATGAAGAAGTATATAATAAATTACTTTTTACTTTCCAAAACCTTTTAATTTTATCTTATTTTTTAAAATATTTATTAAAATAGTGGATTTTATAATATCAAATATTATTTTACTCTTGAACAATTTCTTATTAATTGTTGACTATAGAAACCAATAATCAATATATTTAGAATTTTATATATAAGAAAGAAATTAATTATTATTTATATTGATTAGTTTTATTTAATTAAGATTTCATGGCCACTTATTGCACAACTTTTGCTTAGTAAATTCAAAATAGAGTACAAATCGGCTGGTTTTTTCCAGAAATTTTTTTAATTGGAATATTGCATTATTTATACAATTTCTTTTTGTTTGATTGCATGAAGTCCATAAAGATTAAATACATTTGACGACCAAGAACAATGTCTTGTCATTGGATTAAATTTCATACCACGAATCGATTTCGTTTCGCAACCATCTGTAAAAAAAGAAAAGATTAAGAAACATTTATATGGATGTCACGTTAGATATAATTATATAGATATGATTTATATCTAACGAATTGTTTCTTAGTTGTTTTTACTAGAATGTTTTCGTAGGACAAGAATTTAACTTACAATTCTTTAATATACATTGAACTTCATGTGGAGCAATAAATTTACCCCAATCAAAAACGCCGAAGGGTATACTTCTGAAAATGAATTCGCCTGCTACTTTAAAACAAAGCCAAGACATCAGAGTTTTATTTATTGTTGTTATAAAAATTGATTTTCCAGGTTTCAAAAGTTTTACACATTCCTATACATAAAATATTTGAAAAATATTTTTTATATATATTACAATATTTATATCTAATAAATCATATTATTTATAATCATGTTATTTATTATAATATTGTACCTTTAAAAATAGTTCTTGATCAGTTACATATTGCAAAACGTCAGTAGTTACAACAGCATCATATGCGCTGTTTTCTCTCTCCTTTTGTGCGAAGTCTTCCACAGTTGTGTGAATATAATTTACTCTTTTTGATATACTGGGATCTAATTTTATATGCTCTTTAGCAACATTTATTAATTCTGCCGATACGTCTATTCCAGTTACTTGAGCTCCTGCTCTAGCTAAACTCTCGGTTAGTATACCTCCACCACAGCCAACTTCTACAATATTGATTCCTTTTAACGGAAGATCTGAATTCTGTATTTCGACTCCAGAGTTTAATCCATTTTTCACAATCTGTGTTTTAAATGTAGTGTAATTATGGAGGCCTTTTAAAGGACCATTTTTATCCCACCAAAAGCTTTTCATAGCAGAAAAATGTTCAATTTTCTCAATATTCGCGGTTGACATTAATTTGGCAAATCTGTTAAAATTTAAAAAGTCTGATAGAATCAGTTAAGAAAAAATTGTTTTTATGATCTGTATTATTGAAACAGATAGGAACTTTTTCCAGTTAAATTATATACGTTTTTATAAACAGCTTATTGTTTGTTTTATTAAATCAGATAATGTATGTTAGGACATATTAATGATATAGAGAGCTTGAGTACCATATAGAGAAGCTCAGATAATTATTCTTTTATTTAAGTACAATAAAATAAACAATGATAGAAATTTCTCGTTTTGTCTGCATATTAAAATGTACGAAATAATTATTTAAACCGTTAGCGCCCATTATCCTTATTTTAGGATATAGGATATAAGAAAAATAAATTGAGAGTTAATTGAGCCTAACTGTCGCATTATATTATCAACGATAAACTACGATAATTTTTCTATAACATTTGTGTTATTGAAACAGATAAAAACATTTAATTATATAATTTTTTATGGACATGCTATCATTTATTTTATATTAAATCAGATAATATAATGGAATCATATAGACAAGCTTATGTACCCAAATAAAATTTTTATTGTTTAAATAAGATAAGATAAAAAAAACGATAGAAAATGTTTTTTTTCTATCTGACGTAATATTTAAATGCCTGTTAGATACAATCAAACAAAATTATATTACATTTTTTCAAATGTATATTTTCTATTGTTTTTCTATCGGATTTTTTAAGCAGACTATTTTTTAATAATCTATAATAAGTAATCTGGATTTAATATGTTTTTATATAATGTATAATATTATTTGAAACTCAGATTGATTCTTCAATTATGTACCTCAATCTATTGATAATGTAAAGATAAAGAAAGACAGTATAGAATTGAGATTGATGTTGTTAAATGGATAATTAGATAATTACAATAGTATATAATTAAGAATTATACCTGTTTTGGGGAATGTTTCTCCACAATCCGTTGAGATATTTGACAACGTTTGAAGTTATCATGTTTGTATTTAAACACACAATTGTTTTTATATTGTAAAAGATAATCTGCAATATCAACTCTCTAACGAGTAATGAAAATGTTAGACTTTAGTATATCTGAAACATTATACAAAATACAATGTATATATATGGATGAATTTTTAAATACCGGTATAACATTAGTAAATATTTAAAAAAGACGAAAGTAACAGTTTTTTATGTAAAAAATTTTTGGCTTTTCAATAAAAATAGTCTCGAATAATTTAAATTTCGGAAAAGTACTAAAAATCATGAATTTCCGAGAAAAGCGTGTTTTTCTTCATGAGCCTACACTGAAAGATCCATTTAGTTACATGAAATAAAATTTGACTGAATCAATTAAATCTCTTGTTTTTAATGTTTCTATATAGAGAGATGCTTAGATTAACCTAACAAAATAATTTAATTAGAAAATGTTGTCATGTTAATATTCAGTAAACTAAATTTTTAATTATATGAACCAACATTTTGATTGAAATTTTATTTAAATTTTATTTACTAAACTAAATTTGTTTATTAATATTACCAAATTTTCCAATTAAATTATTTTATTGTATCAACTAAAGCATTTATTTGCTCATATCCCAACAAAAGATTTAGTTGATTCAGTTAAAGAGATAGATTTTAATTAATCAAATGTTTCTCTTAATACAAATAAAAGAAAAATGCATAAATAGTGCATAAATGCTTGATACATAACACTTACATAGCACAGTTCGTCAAAGAAATATCGCGTATAGACACACAATACATCCCAGCAAGAAATGATAATAGAATGGGCGTCGAAATGATCAAATCGACGTTAATTCAATGTCAATTCCATTATCATTTCTTGCTGGGATAGAACTTGAATCGATTTGGCTCTTACTATAAGATCCGATAATTACAATACTGAAAAGTTCGACGGCTGCGTAAATATTATATAGGCACGGATGATCATACGCTATCACGGTGTTCACGCGCGTGCATTTAACGTGAAAATACTACCAACACTATTGTATCATCCGCATGTCCCATGTTTTCTGTTATCTATCTGAGAGAAAATTGTCGAAATACAGCGAAGCAAATGTTACTGCATGACAATTTCTTTAATATTTATTCGTTATAACTAAATAAATTTGTAATAACAACATATATATTTTTGTGAAATATATCTCAATCTCAATCTCACATTTTTATTATTTGTAAACAAAATTTCGTTTAATTCTTACTGAAAAAATAAATTTACTCGAGACAAATTAATGCTTCTGTATAGCAATCCAATATTTAGTTGCAATTAGATGATCTTTATAGGCAAATAAGTATTTATTTCTGGAGAATGCATATTTTTCTCAAAAACAAATCTTTGTTTAGAAGACCAAAAGGTTCCTCCTCTGAATAACATTGCATTATATAATATGGCGAACTAAGCGTTTAGATTGTTCCTTGTGTTGCAGTGCAAGTGTTTTTACAATACAGTTGGTGGAGTATGAAACGATCATCAAGTTGAAAATTCGACCGAAACGTGTAGATATCGCCAAGTTTTACGTTACATATCGTTCGTTCATTTATTTGTTTGTTTGTTCGTTATAATAATATATTGTAATAGCATTCATAACACAAGCAAAATTAGATTGTGAAGAAAAAATGAACTTTATTTGATTATGTGTAATTTATTTGCTAGAAATATTTCAATTCACACAAAAATGGAAAGAAATTTGCTACTTGCAACTAAATAATTCATTAACATCTCTAAACATTGACGAAAAAGAATCTGTCTTTGAATTTTATTGTATTCTATCTCAAATTTCCATTGATCAGAAATTGTACTGTGCTTTATTTGACTCACATTTGCCTGTGTTTTAATTTTAATTTTTTACTCACCTGATACACACTCTTGCATAACAATATCAAACACTGGAGGATAATGATGAACCATTAAAAGTCTGTTTACATTTATCATTAAACATTTATCATTAAACACACAAAAAACATAGAATTATAATAAGAATTAATTTTAATACTTTAAAAAATTCCGTTTTTGGTGTGTCAGTGTTCCGCTCGATAAGATCCCACCTCTTTAAAATGCCTTTTTTAAAACTAAGTCAATTTGTACAATTGGTACACTGTTAAACAGCAAAATTATGTCTAAAGTACACAGCATTCTCAGAAATTATCAATTTAGAAATGTTTTTAGTCAAGTGATAACTATTGTCAATAGTGCTTTCAGCTTGCGGTAAGTTTTTATGAATAATTTTATGTAAAAAAAAGCCACAAATTGTGAATGTGGGACTGCCGATCGATGAAACAATAACACGTAACGCGTAACAGAACTCATTTTATGAGTTATACAGTAAATGATATTCAAGAAAAAAACATATAAATTCAGAAAAAAAAAACTTTTAATTGTGCAGTTTTAGAATGTGTTGAATTATTAATTTGTATTAAGGCTGTGTTCGCTTGGAACAGAATGTATATGTGTTGAAAAAAAACCTATAAGTTGTAAAATACATTGAATACATAAATTAACTTTAATTTCTCAATTCTGTTAACGTTAACATTAAAAAATCTGATTATGAAGTAAAATTTGAATAAAATATTTATTTGTAAATTTCTGAAAAAATATTGACTAGAAGTTATTAATAAAAATTTCATTCTAAATGTCAAACCGGTATTTAAAACAGAATATTTCTTCTTCTTTACCTTTCTTCTTTTTTTTTAGAAGGTAATATACTCTTTTTGCCAATCAATGTACTCTTGCGACCGAGAGTTGATAATCCTATGTTAGGGAAACAAAAGTTATACGGTTTGATTTATATACTGTGTAAGGCGGGCGGTAATGTGTGATGAGTACGACTTCACGTCAATACGGGTCTGCAGGTGGCAACAGCCGATTCGGAATAGTAGTAGTTGGAGATAGCGTGTGTGTGCGAAGTAAGAATGTGAGTTAGACGGTACGAATATTGTAATAATGACTGGTAACCAATAAACACGTTTCGATAAGATATGCTCTTAGTCATCCTGTTTAACATACTATATTCTTAGAGAGAATGCCGCTATAACTGATTTTATTAATTTCACTTTGGGTGGTGTCGCAAAGGCGAGGGGGTAACCACTATCTGAAATATTGTCCCACAGATTTCATGATTTCATTTAATTTTATATAATTTTATTTGATGACAAATAATTTTTCCTCACTATATATGCGGTCATTTGGTAAGATAAACGATTTTATCTAATATTACACAATTATTTCTTGTAATTGTCGGATTATATATCGAAATTTTATATAAATTTTATAATGATTTCAGGGACTCCGTCCCACGATTACATTAATTGATTATCCCCTCGCACAAAGGTCTGGTCAAAACCATATCAATTTCTTTTTAATGAAAGCTTCCATTTCTTATTGTATATTTTTTTAGTTTATCTTAAGAGCTTTTCAAAATATTACATATAATAAAATATTTTTTTATTAAAATACTTTTTGAGTTATAAGGCTTACATTACACCAGCATTAACATTATCTAAGGTGTTGGATTGCTGGTAAAAACCTTTTAAATGTTAAACATCTCAAGAAGAAGGAAACCAACAAAACTGGATCACAATGCTTATTATAATTATGTGTGAATTTTATATACTGCGTATGTACAAGTCGCCCCATCTAAATCACGACGCTGACAGTCTTCAGCCTTAACGCATACCTACACTTACTACCGCAGTAACATCATGAATTCAATTGCTAAACAATTTTTTGATGGCATCATGAATCTTAATAGTGTTTTTTAAATGACATATTAAAATCTAAAGATGATAAATTAAAATTCCGTATTTAAAATTCTGTAATTCTTATGCATTGCGAAGAAAATTACATAATTTTGGTTTCGTCTCGGTTTCCACTACAATACCTTACTGATGAGTCCAGTAGTGGAAATTGAGACGAAACGCCAAAATTATGCAATATTTTTCGCAATGCATAAGAATTACAAAATTTTAATTTATCATCTTTAGATTTTAATATGTCATTCAAAAAACACTATTAAAATTCATGATGCTATGAGCATCAAAAAATTGTTTAGCAATTGAATTCGTGATGTTACTGCGGTAGTAAGTGTATGCGTCAAGGCTGAAGACTGTCAGCGTCGCGATTTATATGGAGGGACTACAATACGCAGTATATAAAATTCACACATAATTATAATAAGCATTGTGATCCAGCTTTGACCGTTATTGGCTTCCTTCTTCTTGTTGATGTTTATCATCGTATACGGTCTTAAAAAGATTTTAATATCTTTTAAATGTTGTTGTTCAGGATTATGATTTTGATACCGTATGTCAAGATCAAGGTGTTTGGAGGGAGTAAAAATAAAAATAAGAGGGGAACAACCTCCAATATGCAAAAGATGAGAGGAAACGCGTTCTCTCGATCGTTATACCGGAGAACCGAGAGAAGATAAACTCTGCACCGTCCTATGATCTCTCATTTATCCGGTAAAAAAAATCGCGAAAGAGCGGATGCAACGCTCGAAGCAATATCGCGTTTTACGGTCGCGTAATGCAACCGATGGCCCGTCTTCAGCGCATCCAAGTCGTCGGGAAGTTATTACAACATCGTAATGCATAGGTAATTTCCACTTCTCTTTCTGTACTCGTTTGAACAATTGTAGAGTCAATGGTAGTTTTACATTGGTTTATTCAATTTTCCAGTATTATTTCATAAAAAAGAAAGAAGCAATTAACACTGCTAATTCATCAATTCGTTATATCTTTATATTCTTATAATACGATTTCGATCCTTTATTTAGTTGCACTAAGAGAAAACAAAAAGTAGGTAGTTAGCTTTTTCTTTTTAAAAATATATCTACAATATTATATATTCATATATGGATAATTAGGATATGGTTAAAGCCTACATTTAGGTGCAGCAACCTCAATGCAAATAATTTGTTATCCAGACAACATAAAATCCGAAAATCAGAGCAAAACATTTTTTTAATGTTACC